GGATGAGAGAGGTAGAGGGAGAGGGGAGAGGGCAGGAGGATTGCAACTCGACTTTGCCCAGGGTGTGTTGGGTCATCATCTCCATGGTGCCCAGCTCCAGCTCCTTGCTGACGCACAGGATGGGCAGCGTGGGTGGCACGTACTGCGCTATGGACTGCAGGAAGGCCGCACTGGGCTGTAGGCACGGGGAGAGGAAAGGCGGGGTGCGCGAGGGGGAGAGGGTTTAGAGGAGAATGGGGGTGGGTGTGGGAGAAAAGCGAGAGGTGGATGAGGGCGAGAGGTTTGCATTGGGGTGACACTGTCAGCATATCCCCTTACTGACTGACTAATGGACTCACTGAAAGTGGGAATGAGAGCCACATCTACTTGGAGTATTTTAGAGCCACCCAACACACCATGATGGCTTGCGCGGGAAGGTGTGGCTTCTTTGCACGCATCACTCCCGCATCACTTTCCCCCCACCACTACTCCACCGATAGAGAGATGCTAATTGGGTTCAGCTCCCAGAACTTCCCCTGTGCACGCGGATGGCGTGGATGGCGCACTGCGCGCATCCAGAGCTGCGCAAAACCATCACACCCCCCGCCCCCTCCCCACACCCCCAACCACCCAAACCCCCCTCCCTCCCTTACACCATCCCCTCCTTCCCCCCACCTGCACGGGGATGGCGTGGATGGCGTACTGCGCGCCCGTGATGGCCTCTTTTGGGTTCGTGGTGGCGCGCACGTTGTTGGGGAGAATGATGCCCGGATGGCACGCGCTGGGGGGAGAAGGGGGAAAGGGGGAGGATGGGGGAGGGCGGTGGGGAGAGAACAAGCGATGGCCTCGTTGGGGTTCGTGGTGGCGCGCACCTTGTCCGGCAGGCGCCTCAAAACGCATCGTGCATTAAGTCGTCTCAAATTCACAACGCTATGTTAGCGAGGGGTGAGTTCGCGGTGCGTGGCCGACAAGCATCGGTCCATGCAGGCATCGTTGCGCGCAGGCATCGTCGCATGCATGCAGGCAGGCCGTACTCAGTAGACGGGAAACGCGCTGACGGTGAGACAGTCTAGTCTCGTCGCATGAGCGGATGGTGTTGGGTGGGAAGCGCGTTTGCTTTGTACCTGTTACAGTGCAGCTCGTTAATGTTCTTGCAGTCCTCCTCGAAGCGGTGTAGAATCACCACGTCCAACTCCGCGTTGTTCCGCGCCAGCATGTGCGCCAGCGCCGTCCCGAACGCTCCCCCGCCGAAGATAACAACCTGGCGGAGAAAACACGCGCGGAGAGAAAACGAAGAGGAATCGGGGAAAACAAAGGCGGGAGAGAGGTGTGGTTAGGAGGGGGGAGGCGGGGATGTGGAGAAACAGAAAAAGGGAGAGGCAGCAGCACGAGGTTCGGACTTAAGAAAAGGAGTCAAAGGCTAAAAGTCCGCATTGTCAGCGTGAGCAAGTAAGCAATGAGCTGTTGAGAATTACTTCAAGTGTCTCACGCTCTGTTTCACGCACTTACACCAGGTGTGACTTTTTTCACATGGCATAGAGGGCGCTGATCTGACGTGGCGTAGTCTGGTGGAGTCACAACCATGAGCCTAAACGCCTCGTAATGTGCTGACGCACTACACACCGCAAAAACGTTTTCGGTTTCTTTCAAAACGTTTTCATACGTCAACAATTCTTCTTCTTCGCTTCGCATTTTCGTAAATTTCTTCCTTCTCTGCAATCTTCACACGTTGAACGTTCCGCATTCTTCGCGTTTCCGCATCCTTCTCACCTTTTTGGTTTCCTCGTCAGCTTCATTGGTTTCCTTCACCCGCCAGAACTTGCCCCACCGCATGAGCGCCTCCCACGCGTTCTCCACCTCCGTCGCCTCCGCTTCGTTCATCAGCGCGCCGACCGAAATGTTCGCCGAAGCCTTCTCCTTGTCCTGCGCGATCGACGCGGACTCCGGCCGGTTCGTCGCGCCCGCGCTCACCGCAGCGTGAGATAGCCGTTGCTCAGGCGAGGAGGAGAACGAGGAGGAGGACGAGGACGGGGAGGAGGGGGAGGAGGAGGAATGGGAACCGTGCTGCTGCTTATGCTGGCGGTCTCCCGTGCCTGCCGCTCCTTTGCGGCTGGCATTTGCGGTGACACTCACGCGACCGATTTCCCTGCTCGTCCGACTTTTGTTGATTGGCGACACATTGATGCACTTGATGTCCGAAAAAACTTGGTTCGATGAGCTCGACAGTAGTTGCAAACTGCTTTTCTGGAAAGAGATGGCTGGATTTGAGACTGTGACGCGGGGTCGTTGATTGAGAGCTCCTGGTAACGCATTTGCCAGTAGAATCACAGCTGCACGCGCTGTTCCGGTCTCCATCTCGGATATCGATAGAGAAGGTATCAAAAGAATCCAAATTAGAGGCAAAGTCTGCAAGGTTTCGGAAACAATAGCGTAGAAATGTGGGTGACTGGTTGACCCTAAAGTTGACCAACGTCCGTCCCGAGAATTTCAGCTTGGGTTGAGAATGAATTGATTTTGCTACAAGGTTTTTGAATCTGACGACCAGACGCACGGGTTTCCTGATTCCTGCTTGGCTCACAACTGGTCAGTCCTTGAGAAGCCTGCTTCAGTCTGTGATATTTACGACCCGCCAGCAGCCATACAACAGCGTAACTCTACCAGTCTTTCCCCTAAGAGAGCAATGATCACTTGCAGAACTCCCAGGTCAACCAACTAGTCGAGCAGGCACAGTAGTAGATAAGCGTGATCAGGCCTGAATTCGCTGGGTGATCCATTCTCCTACTGGCTGATTCAGATCTCCGACATTCCCAAGGCCCTCTGATTTGTGTTCCTGATGGGTCGCCCGATTGGTGATGCGTCACCTCCTGCAGTGCGAAATTTGAAAGGAGTGTCGTTAGGGAATTCACGAGCTGTGGTTGCACACAAAGATGTTCGTGAAGACAGTTAGCGATGGAATTCTGCTACCAAGTTGCCGCTTAGCTGTCAACTTCGTTCGTCCAATAACAGACCTGACGGTGCCAGGTCAGATTGAAACGAAGCGCAGAGGACAAGTCAATAAGGTCAGGACACCTGCTTTCGCGATTGGTCCAAGGATGAGGCATGCCCAGGCGTTGCGGGAAGGGAAAGGTGCCGGATTCACGGCGAAAAAGGCAATCCCATTTGTGGAGTGTGCGAAGCCTCCCGCGTTGGACAGCCAGCCACGTGTAAACTTACGTGGCTCCAGTAGCCAAAAGCCGACTTGTCGCAGCTTTCGCGAAATGTCCGGAGAGGTTACCAAGGCACGTGAAACCGCCAGCAGTTCGAACATTTGTGCGATCCCACGTGTGCGAAACTATGCACACGAGGAGTTATTTTATACATCTGACATGGAAACTCTAAGGTTTATCAAAATTTGTTCCTTGTTCGACTATAGGCTAACGAGTTCGCTACAATGGGATCTACATAAGTGTACAGCACCTGCCTACAAAGCTGCACAAATTCGCCACGTGGTGTCCATGAGCAAAGAGGGACAGGTCACAACCCCAGACACGGCTTTAGCATTCCTAGCGTTACATGCAGCATAGCATTCCTCGCGCCGCATTTCTCAGCCCCCTAAGCGGGCAACAGATTCTCCGCTGGTCAACATGGCGCGACGCGGGAATCCAGGCACGCAAACTTGCTCCAAATACGATTCCTCTTTTCACCAGACTCGTCCTTTTTCTTCAGTTTCCGATCAGTCGATTAGCTTTCTGCGAGCATATCCAAGATTTCCGATACATCACAACCGGCTAGAGCTTGCTAACTCACGGCGTAGTACGAAGCGTATCCGACGATCCTTTTGCGAATTTAATCCCGATGGCGTCCCAGCAGCAGCAGCGATTCGAAGTGAAGGTTTCTGGCCAGGCATGCACCGTTTTCGCCCTCGCTCTTTCACTCTCCCTCTTTTGCTTCCACTCCTACCATCCCGCGTTCCCTGTGCCGTCCCCGGCTTTCCCCCTCTCCATCCCGCTTTCTGTCTCTCTATTGCTATCTTAGAACCTCCTGTTTCATCTCACGCTTTGACCGACTGCGACAATTCCTCTCTCTCGTGCCTTTCTTTTGATCCGCCCTTCCCTGTGCCGCTTCCGGCTTTCCTCGGTCGACCCCCCCCCCTTCCCCGCCCCCTCCCTTCCATCCCGCCTTTTTGCCCCTTCACTATGACAACTGTGACAACTGTCTCCCCCTCTTGCTTGCCTCGGGGCGAAAGGCCAGGGCCAGGAATTGAAGGCGGATTACAAGCCCTTGCGCTCTTTCGCGCCTCTTCCTCTTGCGTATGCTTGCAGGGTGAGGGTCAGGGCCAGGAGCCGAAGATGGTGGCTTCTGGGACGATTGAACCCGAGTCAACGGAGATGTTTCCAGGTCAACCCAGTCAGCCGTACGGACAGCAGTATGGTCAACCCGGTCAGCAGTACGGTCAACCCAGTCAGCAGTACGGTCAACAGTACGCTCAGCAGCCGGGTCGATATGGTCAGCAGTACAGTCAGCAGTACAGCCAGCCGTACGCCCAGCCCTTCCACCCTTCTGGCGAGGAAGGACTGCCTCTTCTCGCAGGCACGGCAGGAGGCGGAGGGCGAGGCACGGGAGCAGGAGCGACCCCACTTGAAGCCTCCACAACCATAAGGTGTGCTGCACGTATGGTTGCTCGCTGATGTGGTCAGCTCTGGTATGCTGTGGTACGCTGTGGTCGACTCTGGTATGCTGCGGTACTCCGTGGTTAACTTTGGTGTGCTTCATAGTCGCAACCAGCTCTGGCATGCTGCCGTTAGCTCTGGCATGCTGCCGTCAGCTCTGGCATGCTTCAGATTTGATATGCTCTGGTTCATTGCGGTCAGCCTTAAGACAGCTCTGCGGTGCGCTGCATGCCACACTCAAGCTATCACTAATCCTAATTTTTTCTGGTGCCTCGTCCCTGCTCGCCCCTTCGCCCCTCCCTTCAGCGCTTGTAGGTTGTTCTGATAGTTTCTGGTTCCTCTGCTGTTCCCTCTCCTTAATTTCCGCTTCCTATGCTGTTCCCTCTTCCTAATTTCCGGTTGCTTTGCTGTTCCCTCCCACTTCCGTGTTCCCAACTCTTTCCAGCCCCACTGGGATGGCTGAGGACGTGTTTCGAACGCATAAGCTAGAGAGGAACCCGGAATGCGAGTGGCATGGACCCAAGTTTTGTGAGTCGGACATAAGATACCTTCTTTGTCTGCTGCTCCCCCCTCCCTCTCCCCAACCCTTAATAGCCCCACTGGGATGCCTGAGCACGTGTTTCGCACGCATCGCCTAGAGAGGAGCCCGGAATTCGGGAGGCATGGGCCAGGGATCAGTCCAGAAATTGGGACGCGTGGTGAAGGGCGTGGATATGGAGCATCAGCAGAGGGCGAGTCTGGGCCGGGCTGGGCGCACGGGCAGGGCGTGAAGGGTATTGGTGGGGAGGGAGTGGCGGGTGTGGGGGGAACTGGGCGGGCAGGCAGTGGCGTGGGGGCAGTGGAGCGGGCACTGGCAAAGATAGAAAAGGAAGGTGCGCCTGCAAAGGAAAGTGCCCTTGCAGGGGAAGGAGCGCCCGCAGGGGAATGTGGGGGGATGATGGGGGGAGGTGAGATGAGAGGGCGTGAGATGAAAGGGCGTGGGATTAGGGACGTTGGGACAGAGGAGCGTGGGATGGGTGGTACTGGGTTGGGAGGGATTGGGATGTGTCAGACCATGGGTGGAGGGCCTTTTGAGCATGGCAGGGAGAGGGCGAGGGAGGTGGCGGAGGAAGGGGAGGGTGTGCTAAAAGGCGGGTATGGGCAGGTGAAGGTTGGTGCGGGGAAGGCTGCGGAGGGGGCTGAAGGGATGGTGACTAAAACGGGCGAGCAGGGGGTGAGGCTGGGGGAGGGTGTGATTGAAACGGGGGAGAGTATGGCGAAATTGGGTCTGAGTGCTGCTGAGCGTGCTGCAGAGACAGGTGTGGGTGTGGCCAAGGGGGTTGCGGGTACAGGGTTTAGGGTTGCTGAAAGCGCGTTTGAAACTGGGAAGGAGTTAGGGGAGAGGGCTTTGGAGGCAGGGAAGGAAGTGGGGGGGAGAGTGGCGGAGACGGCAGGGAGGTGGGTTCCTGGAGTGCCGTTTGGGGAGCAGGGGGAGGAGAGGACGGGAGAGGCGTTTGAGAGGGGGAGGGAGACTGCAAGGCGAGTGGGAGAGAGGGTGGAAGAGGGGGTGAAGGGGGTGGTTGGGATCGGGGTTAGGACTGCTGAATCTGCTGGGCGATGGGTGACTGGTGTGGGAAGACCGGGTGTGAGTGAAGAGGAAGGGAGAGGTGGTGTGAGTGGAGGGAAAGGTGGTGTGAGTGAGATGGGTGGGGCTGGTGGGGTGGGGCAGGAGGAGGGAGCATATGAGAGGGGTAAAGAGGCTTTGACGGGAGGGCTGGGGCAGGTGGAGGGGCAGGTGAGGGGTGTAGCGGGCATGGGCACTGCTGGTGGGGTTGCTGGTGGGGAGAATGGGTGGGGAGGGGCAGGTGAGCGAGGTGAGCAAGCCGAGCGTGAAATGCGGGCTAAGGAGCGAGAACTTCGTCAATCTGGTCGCCCAGAAATGATTGCGACCGAAGGGAAAGACACCCTCCCGCGGAAAGCCTACGAAGCAGCACGGGAGGGGGCGGAGATTACGAGGCAGCAAGCAGGGGAGATGGCTGGTCAGGCAGGGGAGGTGGCTGGTCGTGTGCCGGAGAAAGGGAAGGAGCTGGGGGAAAAGGCGATGGAAGTGGTGCAGGAGGCAGGGCAGGTGGGTATGCAGCAGGCTAAGGAAGCGGGCTTGGTTGCCAGTCAGGTGATTCGTCAGGCGTACCGCAAGTGGATGGGTGCAGTGGAGGAGGAGGGCGAGGAGGAGGAAGAGGAGGGGAAAGGAGTGGGAATGGGAGGTGGGGGATCGGCAGGAGAGGGAGGAGCTGCTATGGAGGGAGTGACAGGAACGCTTGCAGCTGGGTAAGTATTTTTTTCTAGACTTGCTGATATAATATACATATGACCTGTACTCCACGGGCCTATACTCCCTCCGTTTCACTTTTTTTCTTCTTTTTCACGGATGTGAAATTTCAGTATAAAATTGAATATGTTCTTACTGACGTGTGAGTGTCTCTTTTGTTTACCACCACTGCCCACACCAGGTATCGCCAGGCGAAGCAGGCGGCTCAAGCAGGGCTGGAGACAGGGCAGCAGCTAGCTGGTGGAGCTGTGCAGCAGGCGAAGCACCTCGCTGCCCCTGTAATTCCAGGCCTTGAATCCTCCACAACTTATGAGCAACGTCCGGGGGTGCAAACTCGTGCACCAGCTGCTGGTGGTGCTGGTCCTGGTGGTGCTGGTGGTGCGGGTGTTGGGGGTGAGGGGGGAGTGGTGGAGCGAGGGGGAAAGGCGTATGAGGCAGGAAAGGAGTACGTGAAACGGACCCTTGGAGGGATTGCGGGAGGAACAGGGAGGGGGACGGGAGCAGAAGCAGGCGAAATGACCGGCACTGGCATGCAGGTGTGATATTCGGTGTGATAATCGGTGGCCTGTGGCTCATGTTACTTCAACCTTTGAGATGTTTTTTCAGACTTTACCAAAAGCGGCTCGGATTTTCCTATTCACTTCTCTGTACTGACACCTGATGTCCGCGCTTGGTCGGTCGGTTGGTTGTGTTGTGCCTGAATCCATGCAGGGTCAAGGGCCTTCGGAAGGAGGAGTGGTAGGCAGCCTGCAGCAAGGGTAAGCAAACACTTGACCTTGACTGGCAATAGTGGGTGAGCAAGTAATTTGAAGGGTGAGCAGCATGACTAGCAGTAGTGGTACTCTTGCCACATTCCGCATATGCCCCTCCTCTTTCACGTTCCACATAGACCTGCCCTTCCCCTCCTCCCTCCATATTCCATGTAAGGCCCTCCTGCCAGCTTCGATGCTTCACTCCTGCCTGCCCTGTCTTATATCCCCTTCCACGTCATCCAACACTTCGTCCCTCCATTTTCCTGCCAGGTATCGCCAGGCGAGGGATGTACCCCAAGCGGGGCTGGAGACAGGGCAGCAGCTGGCAGGCGGGGCAGTGCAGCAGGCGAAGCAGCTCGTTGCTCCCATCTAATCCTATTTGCCTCCTTCCCTCCTTCCCTCCCTCCCTGCCGCCCTCCTTATTACCAGGTATCGCCAGGCGAGGGATGTGGCACAAGCGGGGCTGGAGTCAGGGCAGCAGCTGGCAGGTGGGGCGGTGCAGCAGGCGAGGCAGCTCGTTGCTCCCATCTAATCCTATTTGCCTCCTTCCCTCCTTCCCTCCCTCCCTGCCGCCCTCCTTATTACCAGGTATCGCCAGGCGAGGGATGTGGCACAAGCGGGGCTGGAGTCAGGGCAGCAGCTGGCAGGTGGGGCGGTGCAGCAGGCGAGGCAGCTCGTTGCTCCCATCTAATCCTATTTGCCTCCTTCCCTCCTTCCCTCCCTCCCTGCCGCCCTCCTTATTACCAGGTATCGCCAGGCGAGGGATGTGGCACAAGCGGGGCTGGAGTCAGGGCAGCAGCTGGCAGGTGGGGCGGTGCAGCAGGCGAAGCACTTCGTTGCTCCCATCCTCCCGGGTGTGGGTGGGGCAAGTGGCACGAGTGAAGGCACTGGTGTGGCTGGTGTGTTGGGGCAAAAGGAGCGTGAGAGGCGGGAGGCATCAGCGTATGAAGCAGGGAAGGAGCGCGTGAAAAGCGCTCTGGAGGGGATTGCAGGAGGGACGAGGAGTGGGACAGGAGTGGGAGCACGAGTGGCAGGCACAGGGGCGAGTGGTACTCCTGGTCGCACGGAGGGAGGGAGTGAAATGCTGGGTATGGAATCTGGAGGGTTTGCTGGGTCAATCCCTGGTGCGGGGCTTGTGACGGGTGTTGCTGACGTGGCACGGCGGGCTGTGGGGACCACAGCTGACACGGCGAGAGGCGTGGCAGGAACAGTAGGAGATACGGCAAGCAGGACGGTGGGGGCAACAACTGAGACTGCTAGAGGTGTGGTTGGGAAGATGGTGGGGATGGGGGAGGAGGTGGCTGGGAGGGGGTATGGAGCGGTTGAGGGGACGGTTGGAGGGGTGGTGCAGGGTGTGAAGAGAATGACTGGGCTGGGTGGGGAAGGCGGAGAGGTGGAGGGGGAATTTGGGAGGGAGGCAGGGGAGGAGAGGGCAAGGGAAGCTGGGAAAGGGCATGGAACGCTTGGGAGGAGTGTGGGAGGGGTGGTGGAAGGTGTGAAGCAAATGACTGGGCTGGGTGGGAAGGAGGGAGGGGGAATGGAAACCCTTGAAGGGAAGGAGGGAAAGGAGAAGATGGAGCAGATGGAACGAGAGAGGGAGGAGGAGAGTGCGCGGGAGAGGGGCAGGAAGCAGGCGTATGCGGCTCTGCACGGTGCAGAGGAGTGGGTGGAGGGGACAGTGAGTCGTGTGACCGGGGTGCTGACAGGGGGATTGTTGGGAGGGAAGGGACATGGGGAGAAGGCAGCAGGGGTTGGTGCAGTTGGTGGTGAGGAGATGAGGGAGAGGGAAGGTGGGGAGGGAATGGGGGAGAAGATGCGGGGATTGGTGCAGGGCGGAGGGATTGGGGGAGGTATGGGTGAACGCATGGGGGAAGGTGTTGGTGGTGGGGCAAGTGCGGCAACAGGGGAAGGGGTGAGGGTAGGAGAAGTTTCTGGGAAGCCTGTGGAGGCGAGCAAGGGAATTTTGGGCAGTGCAGTAGGCGTGGTGCAGAGTGTGGTTGGTGGCACTGCTGACGTGGCAAAGCATGCTGCTGAGTCAGCACTGGGAGCTACCAAGGCTGTGGGAGGAGCGGTGGTGGGGGCAGGAGGGAGTGCGCTGGGAATGGGTCGCAGAGGGGTGCAGCAGGGTGTTGAAGGGGTGGGGAGTGGTCTTGAGTATGGGAGAGAGAGCCTGGAAAAGGGGTATGAGGGAGCAAAGCACCTGGTGGGGCTGGGAGGGACGCAGGGCGAGGAGAGGGTGGGAAGAGCTGGTGAGACAATGGGCAAGCGGATGGGTGAGGGCGAGAGTGAGGGGATGGGCGTAGGGATGGGGGAGATGATGGGAGGGAGGGGAGGGAGGGGAGGGGTGATGGAGGAGGAGACTTCTGCCGAGAAGGGCAGGCATGCTGTACTGTCAGTGCTGGAAGGAGCAGAGAGGAGGGCGCTGGGTGCAGTGAGCACGCTCACTGGAGGACTCATTGGCGGTGGGGGAGGGGGTGAGCACGCAGGGGCTGAGCGAGCCTCTGCCACTGGTGTTGGCAGTGTTCGCAGTGCTGCTGCTGGTGCTCCTGGTGCTGGTGGTGGTGCTGGTGGTGGTGGTGGCAAGGCAGCAGGCAGCAGCAGGGATGCCTGTGTCTGCAGCCGGGGAGGGGGAGGCTAGTGCTGTGATGGCTGGGCCAGGGGGGAAGGTGGCAGCAGTGGGGCGGCCGGAAGCAGTGGAGGAGGCAGCACGCCCAGTCATGGAGCCAGGCGCGTGAGGTGACTATACAGAGGGATGGGTGGGTGAGTGGATTGCAGGGGAAAATATGTTTTGATGATTCACTTGGTCTTTTGAGTCTCTGTTACAATAAGCAGCATTTTCTGGCCTATTGCGCTTGTCCCTGGCTCTGCAGGGTCATGGTGGTCTGCTACAGGGCTTCTGGAGTATCTCAGCCGCTTATAAGACATGATGTCCAGGGCTATATGATATAGTGTACATACATATGTTCTTTTCTTTGCTTGTAGTTCGCTGTTGTATTCCGTGTACTCTGTTTGATTAGCAATTAATTTCTGCTCGTATTCTGCTTGTTCTAGCTAGTATAGTGCATAGCACACGCTCACCACCAATTCGAAACATGTGCGCACAAACTTTGTCAACCAGTTTCCAAAACTATGTGTGTGAAATGTCCAGTGTTCTGAGTTAGAACATTTGCACCTAACGTTATTATCATAGGGAAGTGTGGACATACCATAGGAAATAATGTGACCGATTGAAGGAAGTGATAATACAGTATTAGCATGACGCTATCGAGCACCTGTGGCGACAACGAGTCCTGATTCTCTGTTGGCGACTTCGTTTTTGTCGTTGCGGGCAATTGGTGAGCTACCTTCCAGAACTGTCTGCTGACTCGTTTTGTCTGTAGTGCTGACCACGGCGGTCAATGGTCAATGGCAAGCGGAGCTTTCTGTTTCTTAGCGGCTTCCACCTCAGCCGCATCGCATCCTCGTTTGAGCGGTGTTCGCCATCAACAATGCGGGGCTGTCCGCATCGAACCAAATCCAGCCATGGGTTGTAACGAGCTGGCTAATATAAACCGTATCAAACCGCTCTAAAATTAGTCCTTCATTCCCCTTGTTCCCCCCCACCCCGTTTCCAGCTCAAGTTGGGGGTGCACCTGTTGGATGTGTGGACGTGCAGGTGCGGTGGGCCGATTTCATTCGAAGTTTAAACGGTCCTATACGGTTCCGATATGCTAGAGCGTGGTACAGTCTGTTGGCGACTCGAGAATATCCCCCCAACCTCCCACCAAGCATGAACCTCTTCCCCCCCTTCCCAACCAAGCATGATAGATGTGCACCATGTTGCTTGCATGTGCATCCATCCAGGCTATCCGCAGGAACAATATGATGGTACAGCCGTCTGAACTTGATTTTGTGCTTCTACTTTCCGCCAGCCATCCTTCTCGCACTCCACGTTTCTGTTACGAAGGACTGGTAGTTGTAGATTGCTGAAACGGACTGGACATCGGATTGCGGTGCGTCTGTATTACTATGCACACCTGGGTATTCATCTCTCGATAGTCCCATACTTTTTATGGATAGCAACCGACGCCAAGTATGACGGAAGCGGATCTCACGGAGCCCTCAATCGACCAGCCGTCAATAAACCAGCCATCAATGGACGAACCGTCAATTCTAGACTGTCCGTCAATGGGCGAGTCGCGTAAGCTTTCCAGACGTTCGCAATCGTTAGGTAGCGCAATGAGCGGCGAGCGGACGGCCATGGCGCAGTGTCCACCGAACGCGGAGGCAACCGTGCCGACTGGGTTCCGCCATCGCTCCCTTTCTGCAAGTTCTCGCGGCTTTCCCGCCATTCGAATTGTCATCCCCGCCGCTGACGACGACGACGCATGCGACGACACGCGGTGCGATGACACGCCGTGCGACGTCACGCGGTGCGACAACACGCCGTGCGACGACACGCGGTGCGACGACACGACGAGCGACGACCCGCGCGACCGAGCGTGCGGTGATGGCGTGGCGCCGCATTTCCCCGTTCAAGCCGTCCCCTTTCCCACGCCACGTGTCAACTCTGTAGAGGTTGACCGCTTGTGGGAAGTCCACGTGTCGCCATCTGAATCGAAAACTGCGAAAGAGACGAAAATATGGCGCAGGGAACGACAAGGGGAGCCGGAGAGAAGGGAGAAGCAGAAAGCGCGGAATGCGGACGGTGCCCGCGCGCCGAAGCAGTCTCCGCTGGGTTCCGCCAGCGGCTTTGCGCGCATGCTGCTGCACTGGGCGCCTTCGTCGGCGCGCAGCAGCCGCCGCAAGAAACGCGGCGATTCTGCGGCTTTTGGCTCTCCGGCGCCCCGGTCCCAAAGCGTTGTCCAATCATCGCAAAGTCAGCGCGTTGCTAACGTCAGCTCGGAGCTCAACCCTGACACGTCATTTCGCGCGTCGGAATCAGGTATCGCGACAGCGTCCGCGCGGGAACGGGCGGCACCTTTCGCGATTCGTCCGGGGGCTGCACAAGCAGAGGAGCCGCCGCGCGGGTTTTCCGCCCGTCCGAGCACGGCGCCGAGCGGAATCTTCAGCCGTTGGCGCTCCGCCGCGCCGCTTTCCCGCCCAAAATCTCCGCTGTTCGGCCTGACGTACATGGGGGGTTCGGCACGACGGGGAGTAAGCGACGCGTTACCCGAAGGGAACGAGCTGTGCAATCCCAGCGATGCAGCGGCATCGGCGGACACGGATAACGGAGCAGCTTATAACGGAGACAGGCTCCGCTCGATATTTGCTATGGGGACGAGCTTTTCCGCGGCTAGTGAGAGACCGTGGAGCGGCGGAGGGTGGGACGCGGCGGACGGGGCGTGGCGGACGGGGGCCGGCGGAGGATGGGGCGTGGCGGACGGGGTCGGGGAAAGCGTTTCGGAGCGCGGGGACGCGGATAGGGAGGATATAGAACGGCGCATTTCGTACAGTAGCAGCATTGCTGGCGCGGCTGGTAGTGTAGTTAGCAGCAGCACTGCGGCTTATACCGAAGTTGCTTATAGCGAGTCGCTCATCATCCAGCATACGGATCGCGACACGGACTGCGAGAGCGTGACGTCAGCGTCTAGCTGCAGCGGGTACGACGCGCTTGCATGGGGAGGGAGCGCGCCGATGGGCGGAGGAAATGCGCCAATGGCTGGGGGGATCGCAGTAATTGGCGGAGGGAACGCGCTGGCGGGCGACGAAAGCGCGCTAACGGGGGGGAGAAATGCGCAGCTGGGGGAAACTCTTGCGGACGGGGCCAGCGGAGATTTCGCAACCCTCTGGCGGAGCCTGCCCCGCGACCTGCGCCGCACGCGGTCGCTGCAGAGCCCGCGGGGTTATCCCGGGGGTAACGCGGGGGGAGGTTTTGAAGGGGAATCAAGGGGGAATGGCGGACACTTGACGGCTGGTAACAGTAGGCCCGCGGAAGGCGAGAATCAGGGCAGCTACATTCGACAGGGCAGCATGCGACGAGTGGGTAGCGCAGAAATGTTACCAGCTGTAGCGCATGGGTTATTCGCAGCAGCTGTAGCAGGCGCAGCTAGCGAAGGCCCGCTTACCCCCTCCGCGCGCACACCCGCGGATCTCCCCCCCACGTCCCCGCGGTCTGCGGGCGGCGCCGCGTGGGTGGTGAGCGTGCCGTCGTTCGCGCAGCACCGCCTGCGCGTCGCGTCCGCAGAGAGGGCCGCGCGCGGAGAGGGCGAGGGGCGGGGAGGGGGCGAGGGGCGCGGGGAAGACGCGCACTCACAGGACCAGCAGCAGCAGCAGCAGGAAGAGCAGGAACGGCAGGTTCAACTGCAGGATTGGGAGCGGCAGCAGGAGAGGCAGCTGTTGGCTAGGGCGCACAGGCAGACACGCAGCCTGCATTCGGGTGACATGGAGAAGATTCGGCTGGAGCACTCAACTGTACCACACCCAAGCGTGCCACACTCACAAGACCAGCAGCAGCAGCAGCAGCAGCTGTCGAGAATGCACAGGCGGACACGCAGCCTGCATTCAGGCGAAATGGAGAAAATCCAACTGGAGCAGATCGGCGAGCTCACCATCCCCTCGTTCCAGCAGCACATGGGCGAGGAGGATTCTGCGCAACGCCTCTCCCGCCCCTCCCCATCTGCGACTCTCTTCTCGCCCTCGCTTCACCCCCGCCTCAGCCCCCGCTCGACCCGCCCGCCTCCCATTTCTCCCAGAGCCGCTGTTGGACCCCCGTCAGTGCTGCACCCAACCGTGCCGCTCCGAGCCGTGGCACACCCAACCCCACCGCACTCACAGGATCAGCAGCAGCAGCGGCTGCTGCCGAGGGCGCACAGGCGAACGCGCAGCCTGCATTCGGGTGACAAGGAGTGGATGAGGCTGGAGCAGATTGATGAGTTCACCATTCCCTCTTTCCATAACCACTCGCCCTCCTCTCTCCGCCACGCCCTCCCCTCCCCATCCTCGCAGCTCCTTCCCCCCTCCCCGTCCGCGCTCCTCCGCTTCCCCTCGCTGCAATCTCGCCTCCGCTCCCCCCGCTCGCCCCGCCTGCCTCCCCTTTCTCCCAGGGTGCCGGCTGGACGCCCTTCATTGCCGCACTCAACCGCACAGCACCCAACTGCACCGCACCCATCAGCCAAGTCCCGATACCCCAAAGCACAGAGCCTGACCTCACCTTCCCCTCCCTCGTCCTCCTCCATTCGTGTTTCCCCTCCCCAGTTGCCGCATCGGCCACCCGTGTATTTCCCATCTGGCACATTTGGCTCGGGACCTGCCAGGTGCACTCGCAGCAGCTTTGAGGCGCCTCAGAAGCCACCCGTTAGTTCCCCATCGTGTAATGCGGGACACGGCAGGAGCTTTCGAAGCAACTTTGAGTTGCCGCTGCCTAAGGGAGGGCATTCTCTCAATGTATTTGCCGCAACAGCCTGTGAAGGCCGAGAAATTCTTGCAGTAGATGGGCGGGGTGTGTTTACGGCTTTTGAGACAGCCAAAAAAGCAGCAGCTGCGTGTGGTGCTGAAGCTTATTCTGAAGGAGGAAAAAGGGGTAGATTCAGGAGTACCACTTTAGAGGCGTCTCTAAAATCGAGTACACCCAGGCAGCCGTTTCGACGGTGCAGATCGCTCGGTGCAGGAGTTGGGGATTCCAGCTTTGGCAGAAGCGAGTGTGACTACAGTGACGCTTCTGCTTACAGTCACGGGCAGGTTGACAGTAAGCTGTGTCACAACAGCATGGGCAATGACGGTGGTGCCGGTACTCCTCAGGACTGCTTTTCAGGACAGACAATGGAAAGTTTTCGTCAGGATGCTGGTGTTCAGGCCGGTGCAATGCGGTGCATGGTGCCTTCTATGTCAGTGTCAACGGCAGCACTGCCGCCACCCTTGCCCCTGGGCAGTGCCGCAACTTTTCCACAGGCGGTTACCGCACCACCCGTTGCAGACGTTTCTGAGGCGCCATATGTACCGGTGGCACCGGTACACGTGGCGCCACGCGATTGGGTGGAGGATTCGTATTGCCTGTTGAAGGATGGGGATGGGGTTGTGGATCCTTGCGGCCATGAGTGGAGTGACAGCAATGAGTGAGACTGTGAGGAGAATGACTGTTCAAGGAGTGACTCGGAGAGGAGTGGGTGTAACAGGAGTGACTCGAAGGCTGTTATAGTGGAGCATGAGCAGGGGTGTTACTTGCAGTGGCAGCAGCAGCAGCATGTCCCATCATAGAGACCAATTGTGCTGACGTTGTGAGGAGAGATTCAAGGGGAATCAGACAGCAATCAGAGAAACACTTTCTGTCTCAACTGAAGGAACTTTTGGTAGATATGCGGAGCAGTGTTTCCTGTTTATTGGACACGCTGGAAAGTGGGGGTGCTTACAACGGTTTTGCTGTATAGAGAGAACACTGATGGACATGTTTCATGGAGGTAAATTTTCATGCTATCAGACACACGCAGGGCAATTTACCCTATTTCATGTCCTCCCCTTCACTTCATGTGCTCTGGTACCTTGGAAAAATCAGGCATCCCGATATCAGCAACGCGGCGCGCAGGCTCTCGACAACGCCTCGTCACGCAACAGCATCATTCTCCATTCGACAACATTGATGCTGCCGAGCCGACCCTTGATGTTTACATGATTCATTCCTGATCAGGGATTGGCTCGGCATGATTCAGAAATCGTTGGCATCATCTAGGTTTGACTGCTGGGCCACGGTTGGCAATCTCTTAGTTTGTCATAGCTAGGATTCAACGGTCATGACCCCATTGTTGAACCTGGTTTCGCCTCCGCTCTCCGTCAATTCTTCTCGCTTCTCCGTCTCTCCGTCACGAATTCCGGCCAAATCAATTATTATCCCGTCAGTACCGCACCCACGCTTGACGGATTCTCTCCAAGTTCACCAGCGCATCCAGCGAGAACGAAGCGATTTCAACCACGAGCCTGCATGCTGCGCGCCGAGCGTGAAGCCCCCTCAGCCGGCTGCTGCACGCCATTGTCGTGTGAAATGCCGCGCGAACTCACGGCAAAGCGGCCCTCATGGAAGGAGAATAGCAGCCCGCAGCGAGCGATCGAGTCCGCCAGTCCCAAGTCCTGCTACCGGCAAGCCCAAGGGTTTCGGCGGACCCTCTTTCCGTGATCGACGCCGCTCGGAGAAGCAGGATTCCAGGAAGGGCAACTCGGGCTGTGATTCAGGAAACCCGGGTTCGAAATCCGCCGCTGATCTATTATCTCAGAGCTCGACGCAAGGGGGCGGGGAGTTAGAACCACCAATTTTGGACGAGGTTTTAAGCTTAAAATTTGATTCAGGGGAGTCGTTCTCATGCTTAGGGTCGGCAGCAGCGCCTGAACCGCAAGGAGGAAGCTCCTCAGCAGTTTCAGCAGCCAGCAATGGCGCTGCGAGTAGCGACCGTGGCGGGAGGCACAGCATTCGCAAAAGGCGCAGTGCTCGCAGCACCAGTTACGGAACTCACGGCAACATCGAGGCTGGCTCGGGCGCAATCAGGCACCAAACGAGGTCGTTTCAGGATGTGGGTTCAATCCCCAATAAGGATCAACGGTGGAGCGCTGCTTCCACCTCTCCCGCTTCAGCTTCCGCCGCTCCCCCCTCAGCTTTCGCCACCCGCGATTCGCTGTCCGCCTCCCCCGCTTCAGCTTCCGCCTCTCCTGGTTTAACTTCCGCCGCACGCGCTTCGCCTTCCGCCGCCAGCGCGCCCGGCGACATTGGCTTCCGCCCCCCGCGCACTGGGCGGGGCGGCCGCAAGCGCATGTCTAGAACAGTGACCAATCGGGTGGCGAGAGCCGTGCACGCGTTGCTATTGGCTGCCAGGTCTGACACCCGATCTGACACCCGATCTGACAGCCGATCTGACAGCCGATCTGGCAACGGGCGGGGGAAAGCGCTGCTGGGTGAACTTCGCAGGCTGAAGAAGCTTCCTGCGGGTTTCCTGCGGTCTGTCGCTAAAGAACTGTGGCGCCTGCAGGAGTTCGAACTGGCAGCGGATGTAAGTTAAAACTGAATGACTCTTCCCTTTTTGGGCTCTCTTTTGTCTTGTTTCCTTATCTTTTCTTCATTCCATGAATTTATAAGGTTCGGAACGTTGACGCAGAAGATAGCCGAACTCTGTGATGCTGCTGCGCTGTGTTTCCAGGTCCTGGACCCACTCCAACCGGCCACCTGCTGTTGAGACTTCTCAGAGGCCTCCCTTCATCCTCCCCTCTCTCCCCCGTTCCTCTTTCCCTCCTCTCCCTCCTCCCCTCCCTCTGTTTTCTCTCTCGTTTTCCAGGTCATCGAGTCAGTCCTGCCAGCCATCTACCCTGGTAACAGGCGATCATGCCTTGAAGTTCTCAAAGGCCTCAGGCCATTCTCCCCTCTTTCCCTCCTCTCCCACCCCTCTCTTTCACCTCTCTTTTTCCAGGTCCTCGACTCAGTCCCACCAGCCACCTGCCCTGGTAACAAGCAATTATATTTATCCGATTCATCCGATTCGGAGGATCTCGAATATTCTAAAGATACAGAAGAGTTTGAATCTTCTGCTCGCGGCTGCAGCAGCCCTACACGTCAGCAGCGGACGTGTGGCAGCCAACAGTGGACAGGTGGCGCTCTGCGATTGCACGCCCGTGTGGCAGCAGGGCTGGTGGCAGCGAATCAGGCGGAGAGGGGAGCGCAGCTGATTGGCCGGATGCCGCGAGCGCAGACACAGGTCACTGATTCAAACACAAGGCATGGCATCCATCTACTGGCTTTGAATTCATGCACAAAGAGCACAAAGGGCACAAAGGGTGCAAAGAGCACAGAACGCATAGCAGAAGTTCCAGCAGGGCAGGCAGCGGTTTACCACGGCAACGCACAGCCCCACGCCCCTGTATCCCTTCCCATACTGGGCCGGCTTCCTGTCTCCTTCTCGCCCGCACCGCCACTCCTGGATGCTCTCCTATCTCAGCGGCTCATTGCTTCAGACCAGCTGATCCCAGCAGCAGGAAGGCTAGCAGCACCAGAGCAGCTGACAGCAGCTGAAGAACTAGCTGACGTGGCAGAGCAACGCGTCCCACCCACCACCAGAATCTCCTCTCATTCGTCTCACCTTTCCCAGTCCATCACCGCTCCCGCTCGCCCGCTCGCCTATGCCTCGGGCTGTGCTCTGATAGAGGCGTTCGGAGAGGTGGGAGTGGTGGACGGGGCGGTTGCGATGCTGATGTGCATGGCATGGGGGTGGGACGAGCACCCACATTCTGAAACCCATCGCAGCACCCTCACCTTGGGACCTGAAAGCAGGATCCCAACTCGTGATTTCAGAAGGGAGGTACATGGGGTCTTGCAGCAGGAAAGGAGTGGCTATCTCGTGGGATCCGAGAGCAGGATTCAAACTCGGGCTTTAAAGAGGGAGGCACACGCGGTGTTGCTGCTTGCAGCCGCCCTCGCCCGCTGCAGTCGCCCCGATGACGCCCTCGCGCTGCTGCGGCTCGTGCTCCAATCGGGAGCTGCCACGTGGCGGGATGGGACGGGCCAGGTGGCAGTGGCGGCGAGGGCGGCAGGGGAGGCGGTGATGGTGGCACTGGCGAGGGAGAAGCGGTGGGGGAAGATGGAGGAGATTGGGGCGGAGATAGACGAGTGGGTGGGGGAAATGGAGGACTTGGTGGGTAAGATGAGCAGTCTGAGCGAAGCAGCAGCAGCAGAAATGCCACCAGTACCACGAGCAGTAGCAGTGCAACCAGCAGCAGCAGTGGAAGCAGCAGCAGCAGCAGCAGCAGCAGAAATGCCACCAGTACCACGAGCAGCAGCAGTGCAACCAGCAGCAGCAGCGGAAGCAGCAGCAGCAGCAGAAGCAGAAGCAGCAGCAGCAGCAGCAGCAGGAGCACGAGCACCACAATTGTCAGCAGTAAAAGTATCAGTAGCAGGAGGACGGGGGAGGGGAGGGAGTGCGGGTGAGTGGAGGAGAAGAGAGCTGCTTCTGCGAGCTTCGTGGGAGAGAGGGCAGTGGCAGCAGGTCGCATCCATGCTCCATCACATGGCTGCTGACGTGTCACCTTTTGCTGACGTGTCACCTTCTGCTGACGTGGCACGCAACAATGGGTCGATGGCAACAGAGCCAGCTGTGCAATCCCCACCACCAGCAACCACTGTGAACCTGGCAGTGCGCCTTCTGGGTGCCGTTGTCGTCCCAATGCTGCCTCCAGCTGTCGTCCCACCGCTGCTGCCAGCTGTCACCCCACGGTTGGCTGAGGTCCCACGGATGGCACCATGGGCAGCAGCACAAGCAGCATCACAGGCAGCACCACATCTGGCAGCAAGTGCTTCAAGTGCAGAAGCAGAAACTGGGTGCTGTGCGGGATACAGAATCGTCCTCAACCTTCCCCAACCACGTTCCAAGCCACTGCCGGACCTATCTCAGCAGCAGCAGTTACCAGCACTGTCTGTTGAGGACAGCCGCGCACTGGTCCATGCCTTCACTGCCCTGCTCCGGTGCTATGTGGTTGCAGTTACCAGCAGCAACAGCAGCAGCAGCAACTGGGGTTCTCGTGCTAATGGTGATAGCTGCGTTGCTGCAGTTACCAGTAAGATTGGTGCGAGTTCAAGTGACGGTGTTGAGTTGCAGCTTGATCTGCACGGGTTGCACTCTGAAGCCGCTGCTGTGGTGCTACTGGCCTGGCTCATTATGGGGCAGGGGGAGGGAACTGTGCATGCAACAGTGGGAGGGGATAACAGCTGCGGTTTGGAGGCAGCAGGGAGTGGCATCGATTCGACAGGCTTATATTCTGTCTGTGGGGGTGTACGAGATGCGGAGAATGGGGGTTTGAAACAGGAATGGAGTCAAGGAGATGGTGCTACGAGTGCACGGAATAGAGTTTCCATCGTGACTGGATGGGGGAAGCATAGTCGGAAGCAAGGTGCTTCAGGGGTAAGGAGTCGGGTGGAGCAGTTATTGGTTGACATGAATTCTCCGTTTAAGGTGGACAGAGACAATAAAGGTCAGCTGATTGCAAGGTTCAGCTCATTCAGAAATTGGATGAATGATCATATCAGTTTTTGGTAAGTTTAACGAATAGAATTCAGTCCATATATTGTAAGGAATTTTCTCGAATTCCTTATC